TTATGCAGTAGATAGCGAGTGCTTGGTATGACAAGGATGTGTAGATTAGAATTAAGCTTGATTGTGAGATGGACAGGGTTCTTTGTCTGGGGTTTTGTGTGTCCTTTTAGGGAGAAGTTATGATTAGATGTTATCATATTCGGTGGTTTAGTGACCGTTCTTCTTTCAGGCTTCGGAGTCTTATATAGCAGTGTGAAGTAGACCGATGTCCGTTTTGAGTCTGGTACAGGGCTTAGTTGGTCTCGTGTTCTGATATCGTGAGTAATGAGTATCCTCATAGGGTGGTGAACATTGTGTTTTTGCGGCAGTGGAGTGTGAGGCCTGGTGACGTCTGGTGTCAAAGGCAATAATGTTGGTGAGTTCATAGTTTTGGGGTTTTATGAGGTGTTTTCGGGAAGGTGTGTGGTTGTGGGCCTCCTTCTTTAAGGAGGGTAGATTCCAAGGACGGAATCTTTTAAAGAGGGTAGATTGTAATGTTCATGATATATATATATATATATATATATATATATATATATATATTAAAGGCCATAGAACCCACTAAATTCTTTTAACTTTATATAATGACCACAAAGTCATTAGATAATCATCTCTTACTCGCGCAGTGCACTGGTGGCTTCCCATTTTCTTATTTTCTTTTTCATTTCTCCACATTTTAAGCCTAGATCAACACCATATCCTTGTGAATTTGATTTTGCCGCCTAAAGCAAAGTTAACGAGAGCAAAGTGTCATTTGGCCACCATTTAGGATTTCTAATTTTTGGCTATTTTGGGGCTTTTTATCTATTTTGAGGTAGGGGTGTTCTAATTCACAATTTCTTTGATTCTTTGTGAATTTTTCCTTCTAAAGTTGGTCATAAGCATGCTTAGTTTTAGTTATTTTGAATATGGTGATTGTATTTAGTTGTGTTCATAATGTTAAGTGATGTGGTGTGTTAATTGAGCCTATGAACTTAATTAATTTGTTGTGATGAAAAGCATGCTCAATTATGACAAGTTGTATGTAAAATATTTGTCAATTGCTATGTAAAATTGGGATAATTATTTGTAAAAAATAAATGTAAAATTGGGATTATTAGTTGTGAAAATAAATATAAAAATTGAAATTATTAGTTGTAAAAATAAATTTAGAATTTCTTCTTAAAATGTGAATATGACGTTGATGAAATGTATAGAATTTAATTGTTGGATTTGCGAATTGAAAGTATGTAAAATGACATGATTTGGAAATATGAGAATGCGATATTGTGTGGAAATTTATGTTTTAAAACATGCTTAAATGATGCAGATAATAGGTAAGAAATTCTATGTTGTCATGGCATTGAAGGAATAACTTATATTATATTATATATATATATATATATATATATATATATATATATATATATTCTTTTTTCAACTTCATAGTGATTAGTGAACTAAGTCTATATACTTTTAGCCATGGCAAGAAATAATTATGATAGCTGGTGGGGACTTGAAACATTAGCTATTATGTACTTGATCTCTCTTGTTTTTTGAAATTTGAGTTATTTTTTATATATTCTTTTCAACTTCATAGTGATTAGTGAACCAAGTCTATATTCTTTTAGCCATGGCAAGAAATAATTATGATAGCTGGTGGGGGGACTTGAAACATTAGCTATTATGTACTTGATCTCTCTTGTTTTTTGAAATTTTGAGTTATTATTATTTTTTTCTTTCCTAATACCTCATAACTGGTAAAGAAGGAATGCTTTATTTTTGTCCTTGTGGTCGTCTGCTCACTTTTTGTTTGTTTCTTCCACAGATGCCTGATATTATTGACAATGTATATGTGATTATCATCTGGTCACTGTCGGTTCCCTAATGTATTATATATAGGGAAGAATAAGAGCTTTTGTTTTTAAAAAATAAAATAAAAAGGAAATCAACTTAAACCGACAAACCGAACCGAACCAAACTGGTTTTTCGCGGTTTGGTTCCATGGACATTATGGTTCAGTTTGGTTTCAAAAATAGTAGAACCGTTATAAATGGTTTGGTCCCAAAAAACTCCCAATCCGATCCAAAGCAGACCATGTGCACCCCTAGTCATACCCTTTCTTCCTCAAAACCTCTGGCGCAAGATACGCCAGAGTTTTGCACTGGGTGTGAACTGTGAAACAACCCATCATGTATGCATTGCTTCGGTAAGGTGGAGAGCCCGAAATCGGAGATTTTGAGATTCTCATTGTCGTCGTGGAGTAAGTTCTCCAGCTTGAGGTCGCGATGGTAGACGTCACGGCTGTGGCAGAAATCGACGGCGTTGATGAGTTGCTGGAAGTATTTCCGAGCATAGTCTTCTTGGAGTTTGCCTTTGAGAACTTTGGCGAAAAGTTCGCCACAGGCTTTGATGTACTCCAAGATGAAGAAGATCGTATGCTTGGTAGCCATGATGTCCTTCAATTCGACGATGTTGGGGTGTCGAACAACAATCTCGCGCTTGATTTTGGTCGGTATTGCAATCTTGTGGAATAATAATTGCATAATCCAGTGATGGATACAAATGCTTGAAAGATTTAACGCATAGCAGAAGAACAAAATCCAAAAGTTCCTCAGCATTTGGGTAAGCTTTGCACAAATTGCAGTATTACCTTTTATTTGGATTTCTCTTCTCTAGATTTGTGATGTGTTTTTTCTCTCTCCCACACACACTACACTACACCCCAGCTTTATATTTCCTCTTAACATTTCACTCCTATAATATTTTTTCCTTTTTTCTTCTTGTTCCTGTGTCCAAAAAGAATTGGAAATTCCATAAGATCTTCCTTTTCATTATAAGTACGGTTTCATGAAAAAATATGATCTTTTCACACTAGAAGTTTCTGTTTTGCTAAAAAAAATGTGGATCTTTTCACACTAGTATAACCACACATTACTTAATTAGCTTGGTTGTCAATAACTATAAGGACTAAATTTCTGGAATGACAATATATATATATATATATATATATATATATATATATATATATATATATATTTCCCTACTGGAATGACGATTGACATTTCTACTTGGAGATGTTTTGAAATTCTCGTCCATGCTTAAAAAAAAAAAAAAAAAAAACAAATGGGCGGGTTGGGCCGGGTTCGGGCTCGGTTGGAAATGGACAGGTCAAACATGGGTCAAGATCCATATTCAACCCGTTCAGAATGGGTTAAAATGGACAGGTAAAAAATATATAAGGTCAACCCATTATGACCCATGGATCAATTAATTATTATTTTTTTGACTATTTTAAAAATTATTATTTTTAAAATTTTTAATTAAATTTTTTTTTTTTAATTTTAAAAAAAAATTTGGAAGGATTTAAAATTTTATTTAATAACAAAAAAAAAAAAACAATCTCAAACTCAGCAATATTTATAGACTCGTTTGAGAGAGAGAGAGAGAGAGAGATAAGTGAAGGAAAGAGAAAAAATTTCTAGAGAGAGGGGATTGATGAGAGACAAATTTAGACAGAGGGGATCGAGAGAATTTTAGGAGAGAAATGAGTTGAGTGTAATATATAATAGATATGTATTGTGTGTCTACTATGTGATGGGTAAAATATGGGTTGAATACCCAACCCATTAAAAATATGAATTACCCAAAATTCATTAAAAAAACGGGTGAATGTTGGCGGGTTAATGGGTTGTGACCCATTTTGCCACCCCTAGTAAAATACTATTACTCAATTTCTAATTGATAGCTATTATTCAATTTCATCACCATGTCTTTGCTGTCGTGGTGTGGTTTATGCATATAATATAAGGAGAGAAAGTGAGTAGAGAGAGAAATTGAGGGAGGGTAGATGGATGAAGGGTATTATGAAAATTTTACTTAATTAAGTGAAGGAGAGAAAGTGAGTAGAGAGAGAAATTGAGGGAGGGTAGATGGATGAAGGGTATTATGAAAATTTTACTTAATTAAGTGAATGACATCAGCAGAATCCGTCATTGATTGGCATTGACCGTAACAGAAGAAAGGTCTAAATAGTTTCATTTTTTAAGGCGAGGTCTGGATAAATTTTCAAACTATAGAAGAGATCCCTGTAATTATGACAAATCATAAGGGAGGTCAATGTAATTTACCCAATATTGTATAAAGTGTAATGTATACAGTGGTTATCATATATTTGGTAAAATAAATTAAATTTCTTTCTTAACTTGCTGACTTGGTGATGATAAGGATATGTTGGGGAGGTGGCGTTAATCACCATTGTTAGATGAGTAACTGGAGAGAATTATTTTACTTAATCTTCTTCATGACATTTACTACAAATTAGTCTCAACCATATTCTTATTTTTTCTCTCTCTGTCATCACAAATAATAATGCAAAATAGATGTCAATTTTGTAACATATATGATATATCAATCAGTTTTATAAATGTCACGCAGTCTGTGGAGAACCTAGTGAGAAGAATATGTTATTTAGACATATTTGCTTTTGCCCTTAGCCAAATGCATTTTTTTTTTTACTATACCCAATCCAAAAATTAACAAAATCTGTTTTTTCACATCATCAAACCAGAATTTAAATTTAAACCCATAAAAAGATTGAACCCCAAAGCATTACTCTTTATGAAAGCCGGAAATAACGACAAAGGTATAAACTTTGGCACTGACACCTTCATCATCAGGTGGAGGCCTTATTTTCACCGACTTAAACTAAATTCAAGAAATTTTTCGTATCAGATTGTGAAAGTGCCAACTCCACTCCATATTCTTCTTACGCAAGCAAGCCTAGACTTTGTTTTAATTCCTTCGTTTTTAGGAGTGTAAAGAGAATTAGAATTGGATTAGGAAAGAGTTAGAATTGAACTAAATAAATCCCGAGTAGAATAGGATTATTATTTTAATTGGTAACTTATTTAGTTGACCCTCTTGTTATATATGTATATATAGTCAGAAAGAAGCTGCTACGCCACCAGCAGATTCGGGGTGGTTGTCTTGCTCCCGGCTTCCTCATCTGCGCTCATCAAGCCAACTTTTCCCCTTCCTGCATGAATCCTTCTACCGCTGAGAAAAGAGAAGCCATGATAAAACGAGTGAATCCTTGTGCCACTGACAAGAGTGAAGCCATGATAAAACGAAGAAGAATGCGAAGAAATTCATATGGTGACACGCCATATGAAATCATACACATTATACTCTTGAGACTACCTGTCAGATCTGTGTTGCGATTCAGGTGCGTTAGTAAATCATGGCTTGATGCAATTTCCGATCCCCAATTCGCGAGATCACGACTCAATGAATCAATTAAGTTTGACCGTCAAAGTATCATCCGCTGGGGCTACAATGGACGTAATCACAAAAATTTCGACTCCATAGCCTATGACTGCAGTGATAATTCACAGCAAAAACTATGCTTTCCATTTAAAAAGTATAGGAAAGCTGCTGTATTGAGTTGTTCTTGTAATGGTTTAGTACTGTTGTTTCTGGACGACATATGTGTACTGTGGAATCCATCCACTGGAGCATACAAAAGGTTCTCACGTCCTCCTAAATATCACAATTATCCACCACGTGGATTTTGCTATGATTCTTTCCTGGATGATTACAAGGTGCTGTTTTTCCGTGCAAGAGATTTTGTCGTTTACAGTTTCAAAAGTCAATCCTGGACAGAGGCTAAGCACTTCCCTTATTTGGGTTATCGCAGTGGTTCTGGCGTTATTGTCAATGGAGCGTTACACATGGTTGCTTATAAAGCCTTGATCAATAATAATGATAATAGAGAGTCGTCGACCTCTGCTAGAGTTGGACCTCCCTCTCCCGGTAGATTGGGCATGGTTGGAACCTCTGATCCACCAACTTTTATGTTCGGTGATTCCTACAAAGAACATCTCCTCGTTTCTTGCAATGCAAAACCCATTACAAACCAATCTAAGAAGCAATATGGGTGTGTGATTGTTTACTTTGACATGGTGGATCACAAGTTCAAGGAGATGCCATCACCAAATTGTATAAATGATGGAGATATGTTTGATTTGACGGTTTTGAAGGGATGCCTCAGTTTATATTTTAGTACCAGTGATATGAACTATTTTGAGGTGTGGACTATGGAGCAATATGGTGAGCATCATTCTTGGACCAAGTTAATTGTCATCCCACACTGGATATGTGAGAGACATATAAGTTCTTTGAAGCTATTGTGTGTTACCAAGAAAGGTAAAATTGTGATGATACTTGATGACAAAAAACTATTCATTTATAATCCCAAAAACAACACGTGCACTCGTCTTGGACAAACAGAGGTCGACGCTAGGCTACGGGCAGTTTCTATTGTGGATAGTTTGGTTTTTCCCATTCCAACACCTCAAGGAAAAGGAAAGAGGAAAAAACCTACAATTGTACGGAAGTCAATCAAATAATTTCTATTTTTCTAGTTTCTAAGTTAATTCATGTCTTATGATTGTTACGTTTGATATTAGATATTGAAAGAAATATAAATTTTTCCTTTTGTATGGAAAAAAATGGTGTAATTGTTATGTTTTGTTTTTGTTGTGTTAATTAATTACTATAATTAGAATGTATATTCCCAAACTTCATAATAATCAGCATCAAGGTACATAACAGTAACGCATTAGAGAATCGCACACTCTCAACGATTAATCATCATTGAAGCTCTCCACGAACTCAAAATGTTCCGTTACAATTCTTTGTTCGACATAAGCAAGGCTACAAACAGAATTGATGACTACTTGGATCCGCTACTGCCAACAATGAAACTGTAAGCTCGATCTGCCGTAGGTTGTGGACAACATGAAAGAATCATGCAAATTGATCTTGCAATTTTTCATAGAGCACTACCAGGAACAAGAACCGAATTTGAAGACGCCACAAATCTCAACAATAAGCAAAGTTTATCAATAATGTCGGTCACCATGTCTATTTCAGCATGACGCACCATAAAGCACCAAAATTCCATAACAATCTCCCAGCAAAGGAAGTGAGGATGCAAGAAGTTTTCGAGCAGGAAGGATTCCATTTCACCCCAAGCTCGACTGGAATAGACTACAATCATGTATGTTTTCAGTGCATACAGAATGTTAGAAAACATAGGCTCATAAAGCTAATTCCGGGGTTTTACTAGAACCACTAGCAAAGCAAGGACGGAAGAATACACCTCCTCGTCGATTAAAACATTAAAAAGCCATCCAAGCTTTCTAGCGATCCCTAGTATTACATTTTTTTCAAGATCAGCAGCACTATTCAAAAAACTAAGAAATAAAGCAACCCGACCAAGCAATAATATTCTTGCTCCATGCATAGCATCACAATTTAAAGAAAACATTTTATAGATTGAAGTAGTCCTATAGTTACTAAAAACACACACACATTTCCAAAAAGCACATCACTACAACTTAAGAAAGACTGCACATAAGCAAACTAACAATTCTAGTTGCACCCTTTAAATATAGAGCAATTATATTGATGACCTGCCTAAGAAGGAAGAGAGCTTCAACAGTAACCAACAATGGTTCAGTTATATAGTAGCCAGCGTACAGACTAAAACCTTGTAAGAGTTTTATGTAACAAGACCTTGTTACCAACAGTTGAACTTAACGCGGGCAGGACTTTAAAGCACAGGTCCATTGGAAAAAGGAATACCAGAATGTAAAACACCAAAGCATGATCCATCAATGGCGCCAGAACTCCTTGTTGCAGCTTCCTGGGCTATAGTGGGTATCACAGTGCCAGCGGAATCACGATCAAGTATAAACAAACTAATTGTATCTTTCATGTTTAGCATACCAGTCTCAGCTTTCAGCTACTAAGGTCATCCTTTGGATTGTGGCCTAGCGTATCCCAGATTGATTTGTTTTCTCAGCATCTGCCTGAAAACCACCATAAGGAAAAAAGAGGCCAGATTACAGCCAGGAACAAGAACATCCGACACGCTAAATTATGCATGCACCCAAACAAGGCTGATTGATGAAATCTACAATATCAAGTCAGTTTGTTAATAGCTAAACATCACAAAATATGGAATAAATAGAACTTAAGAAATAAAATATTTATGTAAATGTATATTGTTCATATACACATTGAGAGAGAGAGAGATTAAACCTCAAGCATGGGGCTGTTTTTTGGTATGTTGCAAGCCAATATGACATTTAGACCGGTCTTCAAAACTGTGAGGGCAGTAGCATGTCAGCCCATGAACCCAAATAAATTATTGTGATAGTAATTAATGCATATCACAATTTACCTAATCGACGAGCAATGCCAGATCCTGTATTATCAGAAGCTCCCCCAATTATGGAAGGAACACTAACTGTGTTTTTCTGAGCATAACCATTAAACTATAAGATGATGATGACTAATAAAATAATAATGACATATGATTTGAACATTTGTAAGCAAGTATGGCAAGATTATCAACACATGGAGTTATTTATAATGCCCTCTCTAAATTATCAAAATTGAACTTTAGATATTGAAACTTTTGCTGAAATAATAGAAAATCTTATCCCAAAGAATCAACAATGAATGGCAGAAAAAATAGGAAGACCGGCATGATGCAGAAATTGTCAACTTACAGGTCTTGCCAGCACAGCGGCATATAAATTTCCGAAATTGGCTGAGTTGCAACCGATCCATGCATATATCTACAAAAACAGCATAGTAAATAGAACCACCAGAGAGAAGAAAGCTAAAGAACTGACTAGAAAGTCTTTTTTTTAATCTGTGTTCAGGAGCATTGAGTAGTTTCCTATTTTCCTTTTTAGGACTGCGTAATACTTTGTATCAGTTATGATATCATAGCAAGTAAAAAAAAAAAATGAAGACAGAAATAAATACGGTAAAAAAAAAAAAATTATATATTAGATAATTGTGAGTTCTAATGTGCATCATGCTGATTTCTTTTGTTTGCATAAAGTTAGTTTCATTTAAAACAAATGCCTAATGGTTCAGGGTGCCACGAGCTTTCTGAAAGTGACTTTTGACGCACGCGCGCGCGCGCGCACAAAAAAAAAAAGAAAAAGAAAATGATAAGTTAAAGTGACTTTTGACATGGTATCCTCAGAATAAGTGATTTTTCATATAGTGTCAATAGAATCATCTCCCACAGTCCAGAACACCGTTCCTGCCAGCATCAAGAAATATCTAGACACTTTGAATTTTAATAATCTCTCGGAAAAATGAAGTCAACTCGATTTGCAACATTAACATAAAATCAAAAGCAAAAAACTAGACCTTGAGAATCAATTTCACTTGATTCTTTATGTAACTGTAAGCACATTGACAGTCCAAATCTAAAAAGATTGGTTAAAGTACATAATAAGCCAGTGACAAAGTATGATAAATGTAAACTCACATAGGAAATTAAAGCTGCATATAATCTACATACTCACATAATATCTAGTTTCTGACACAAAAACAGAAACACAAATTTGAACCTGACTACTTATATTGGGTAATTTTACTGCATCTGAACAATGCTTCGCATATGCCACATCAATAATCCGTGTTTATCCGAAAGTAAATTACAACCACCCTCAACAATTAAAATCAAGTAACAATAAGAGTGTTCCAACAATTGTGAAATGGGGCATCAAGTAAATTGCTTGAATCCGAATATAAAGCAGAAAAAATCATTGAATAATCAAATTAATGGTTGTATAAGTGATGACACTGCAACTAGTCATGAAAGGAAGGTTCAATGACGAAAACCAACCTGTTTTTGAAGACGTATGATCTGAAAGTAGCGAGTAACATTATCCGACTCTTCGGAAGAGCAGTTGATGTGCACACCACCTTCGTCATCTTCCTTGTTACTCTGGGAGCTTCCATTAGAACAGGGCTGGCCCTGGCCCAAGGCGACCAAGGCGACCGCCTTGGGCCTCAGATTTTAGAGGGCCTCAAAATTTGAGTTTGAGGCCCATAGGGGATGGAAAAAATAAAAAATAAAAATAAGTTAGGGCAAGTTTCAGGACACAATCTGCCTCGAAGTAGAAAGAAGCACATGACGATTCTACATGATGTTAGTGGAACCATCAAGCCTTGCAGGTGAGTCTGTGCTAGGGCCGGCCCTGGTGGTCGCCTTGGGCCTCAAATTTTATGGCCCATGGGCGATGGAAAAAATAAAAAATAAAAATAAGTTAGGGCAAGTTTCAGACGATACAATCTGCTTCGACACTCCGCAGGGCGCAGCCTCCGCTATCGCCTCAGGTGACAAGGTATGTTCATCCTCTCTCTCTCCTCTCTCTCCTTTTGCATGAATCGATCATTTATATATGTTTCTTTCTTTCGTTCATCTCATCATTTGATTTGTTCTAACTTTGGTTTGTTTGATTTGGGCCTTTACCTTTGTTCCAACAGTGAAAAGTAGCTAGGGTTTTGTGCGTGTCACTGTGTGTGATGGCTATCAAAAGCTGAATGAATACATTATGGTTCTCTTAGTATTTTAATAAATGTGTGCCTTTCTACATGCGTCTTTCATGGCGATCGAGTCCATAATCTATGGCAGGTACTTTTTTTTTATCTCCCCCTAAGTCCACTCCAATCTCACAACAGCAGCAACCATACCCCTTTTCCTCATAATTTTTTGCATTTTCACATTCAATCCCACAAAAATTAAGGATCCCTTCTAGTGGGTTGAGGTAATAATTAACTTTTTCGATCTCTAAATTATGCTCAAGTGCAAAATAAAGGGTTTTTTTTTATTTTTTTTTTTTATATGAAGATACATACCACCATTATTGATGTTATTTGAAGTTGGCTCAGCTAGAATTTCAGTTAATAATACTGTCAAAGCACTTGCCATCAGAATGTACAAACACATGGAAATCAAGAGCAGGCTTTAACAAAACAAAAGTTAATGGTTTTTTCTATTAATTTGCACAAGTCTTCCGTAGCAATGATCAATCAATCACTGCGGGTAATTGGCTCCCAAAAACACACACACAAAGTGTAGTGTAGTTAATATAAAGAGTGAAAGACAAAACTATATATGATAGTGGATGCCACATATAACCTAAAAGTCCCACTACCTCTTTAGTATTACAAGTTCAGCCTCCTATATATATATATATATAGTCACCTCATCTCCACATATTTTTGTCATCTGTTATCATCAAATTTTAGTAGCTATATAAACAATGAATGTAAAAGAAGCTGCAGTTTTCTGTTCTCTTCATTTTTTATTTTGTGCCTGTGAAAATTTCGCACTCTTTAATTGATAAATTTATTGTTGTGAGTTAGCTGTCTTATGCACGCTGCACATGCGCACAATTATTTATTGGTAGTGATAAGAATTTATTGTTATTAATTAGTTGTTTTAAGCACACTGCATAGACGCACAATTATGTGTGGGTGGTGATAGATTTATACTTATTAGTTAGTTGTCTTATGCACGCTGTACAAGTGCACAATTATTTGTTGGTGGTAATAAATTTATAGTTATTGGTTAGTTGTCTTATGCACAATGCACAGGGGCACAATTATATTAGCTATAGAATTTGAAAACATTGTGTTAAAATTTCGCACTCTTATAATTCTTTTTTGCGCGTGTGAAACTCAAGGGCCTCACATTTGAAAGTTCGCTTAGGGCCTCTCAAAATATTTGGAATCTCAGGGCCGGCCCTGCATTAGAAGATGTTCCTCCATCGATTCCCAAACGGTCCATGCCGACAACAACATTAGCCGGTAATACTTCTTCCTTTGAGGCAGAGCAGCTGACATCTAACCCTCCCGGTGCCATTTCACGCAACACACACTATATGAGCTTGGAGCTCAACTAGAATGACTATTTAGAGAAATTAGATAATCATATTAGTTAGATTTTTCATAAGCTAAAACTAAGGATTTACAAATTTAGGGTTAAAATTAAGGTTTACATAAATTATATATGCACAGAGTAGAGTGCAGAACAATCTTACCTATTGAGAGTGATTGATTAAACTAGAAGATTGAATATGGTGGGTTTGCTACAGGGGCGAATGATTTTAGAAAGCTGAGTAAAGCGAATTCTTTCCCTGAAAGCTTCAAAATGAAACATGTAAGATTCCGAAGCTTAATCTCTTCATTTTTCCTACGGTTTTCTCACTAACCAAACAAAACATATTGAAAAGCACGCAAGACAGGAAAAAAGAAAGAAGAAGAAGATGAAGAACATACCGATATATGTCTCTCTATTAATCGCTTCACAAACAGAAACCCAGACTTCCTCGAAACCACCGGCTTTCCGGCACCTCGCCGGAGACGGTAAGAACATAGTGAAACAGGAGAATCAGAGATCAAAGTGAAGATAAAAGTGTGTGTGTATCAAAGATGTATATGAAAGGCGAGAGTTACTTGAGAACAGTTCATTCTGCTGAGAGCTAGGGTTTCGAATGTGGGTTCGAATGTGGGTTTGATCGTGAGAGAGAGTATCAAGACTTCGGTAAAGTGAGTAGTCAAATGGTAATTTGGTCATCTCGCGTGAAAAAGGTAAATAGTCCAATTGTAAAAAATCATTTATTTGTAATAGCCCCATCTCTCTGAAAAAATGGAACTCAAACTCCACTGGTTCGTCAGTTGACCACCAAAAGTTTTTTTTTTTTTTTGGGGAATTTTAAGCAACTGTAATAAATGAATAAAGTATAATTACAATGTGGGCCATTTGGCCAAATACCCAAAAACTGAGACAACAAAGAAGCCCAAAATTAGGCCAAACCTGGGAAATATAGTCGTGGATTAAATTTCAAGCTAATAACCGCAATTAACGGCCTTTTTAGCTGTTAATGGAGGATGACCGGCGCGAAATCAGTCCGGCAGTCTTGGGGGAGGGCGGTAGCAAGAAGGCGACAGATTCCAATTATTGAGAATACTTCTGGAGGAGGGGCAATGCCGGAGGAATCCCAATTTCAGAATCGAAGTGATGGAATAGTTGGTCTTGGCCAAGACTGGTCTTTGCTTAATCTAGTTGCAGGTTTACCCAACATATTACAGCAGCAACAAATGTGTAACGGATTATTTAATGAACAATACTTGCTTTAGGCCATATAAGAAGAAACATCCTTCTTATGATGAGGTGATCCAATAAAACACCGCCATGTGTTAAAGTTTAAAAAAAAAAAAAAAAATGATGACCACAGATAATCGAACAAAATCTCAAACCGAAGGCGACCATTATCACCAAACCAATCAACCCATCTCCAAGCCCCCAGTATATGTGACAACCACCGCCTCCTAAAATCATTCTTCCCACCATCAGCGTCATCACAGACGACCACTAAATCAACTCTTTTTTGGGTCTCATATTCACCAGTGATTTGTAATTTTGATGATATTTATATGATGTGGAACTTTGGGTGCGAAATAGATAAGGCGCTGTGTGAATTTGAGGAGTGGAATGAAGGGTTTGCCGATGAAGAAGATTGTGATTTGGTAGTTGTAGAGGCTCAAGTAGCAATATCCCAATTCCCAATCCCAATTGGGTAATGGATTAGAATAGATCTCTCTGCCTTTCTGTCTTCCATTTCTTCATTTACTGGCAATAGTGGTGGTGGAGGCTTGCGTTGTGTGGCGGAGATAAAAATAGTTGGTGGCGGGCCGCTGTGGTCCATAAAAATAGTTGGGCAGCGAACAAAATTTCAAACCGACGATGAGGTCCATAATTTGAGGGATAAAACCCAGGAGTAATAAATATATAGTTGCGTCCGAGAGAATGAGGGAAGGCTAAGTTTCTATTCTAATCATCATTTTTTTTTTTTTGTTTTTTTTCAACTTTAACATATGGTGATGTTTTATTGGGTCACCTCATCATAAGAAGGATGTTCCTTCTTATGCGGCCTAAGACAAACATTGTTTTTATTTAATTTCATGAAGGTAAAATTATCAACCAAGACCAATGAGTTCTATTGGAGGATGGCAATTTCTCCCGACTCGGTAGGTTTTTGCCCGTCCCGTTTGTAATGGAACGAATAACCCAAACAGGTTTGGGGCAGGCAAATTTAGTGATGAACCCGCCCCGCCCCGATTATATATGTATCTTAAATTTATATATATATATAATATATATTTTATATTTTAGGAGCTTGTTACTTTGTTGGAACTCATTACTTTGATAATTTAAAAGTTGGGCCAACTTTTTTATTGTATTAATAAGAGTGAATTTTAAAATATAGCTTGTTAAAAGACAAATAATACAGTTATTTAGTCAAAATGATAATTTGATAATGTTATAAAAAATAGTACATCAGTTTTAGAATGTAAGTGTATTTCAGAACATCTCAAAATAGAAAAATGGACAATTATTTTGGAATGAAATGAGTATTTTATTTGCCTTTCCGTTTTCTACAATATATATATATATATATATATGAGTCAAATATAAAAAACACCCCTAAAATATATTTACAATACATATCATATTCCTCTGGTGCCAAAAAAAAAAAAAAAGGTTTCAATTTAGCACCCCCCACCTCAGGAAAATGAATTGAATAATAGGTAATACTTTTTCACATGAATCATGTGTATAGTTTCATTTGGCCTTCCGAGTCTTCAACTAAGCTTACGGGTCCAAATGACTCTCAATCAACAGTGTGTGTGGCTTCAAGTCAAAATAAGGTTTAAAAGACTCCAATTAAACAAACCTGAAGAAATCTGTTCGCAATTTTTTATTTTTTATATTGCCAGGGATAATTCAATTTCAAATAAGACGATACGTTGAGTTAAATATATTGCCGACATATCGGTTGGTTCATATATTATTTTTAAAGGTCCGATAATCTTACACATTTTCATAAATCAGCTAGTTCGACCGATTTATTTCGATATTTATGAAATGAACATCATCAAATCAGAATTGATGAAATGAAATGAAAACTCTCTCATCAAAATTAAGTATGAAAGAAGTAAAATTAGACC